CCAGATTAGCGGATATTTCAGCATTTCCGAGGACATTAACCTCTTCTTTTGGTTTTTCGAATCCCGTAACAGTCCCGCGACTTCCCCTTTGGTTCTGTGGCTCAACGGTGGCCCAGGATGCAGTTCCATGCTTGGTCTCTTTGTTGAAAATGGGCCGTGTTATTATGCCGACAACGCGTCAGCAGACTCGAACCCCATACTGAACCAGGAGAGCTGGAATAGCTACGCCAACATGCTCTACCTTGACCAACCCGTCGGCGTGGGCTTCAGGCGCGTTACTTTACTTCATGGAGCTAAAAAGCCTCGACTAACAGATGGAAAGTTACGGCGATGCCGACATCAACAGCACCGCCCAGAGCTCGGCATATGTGTGGACATTCCTACAGGTCTTTTTTGCTGCGAAGCCGGAATTCTCCCAGTCCAAATTTGGGCTGTTCACGGAGAGCTATGGCGGTTTGTAGCCCTTCCCTGTTATCTTATCAAATACTGACATTACAAAGGACACTACGGGCCAGATATCGTCCGCTTCATCCAAGATCAAAACAAGGGCATAGGCCAAAACACTTCCAGCACAGTCAAGATTGACATAATCGCCTTGGGAATCAACAATGGCTGGATTGACCCCTTGCTCCAGTTCCCTTCCTACCTCGAATTTGGTCTCTCCAACAATTACAGACAGCTCATTCAATGAATCACAGTATACGACCGGCATGGCGCTATTCCAAGAGCAGTGTGTCCCGGCATTGCAAAACTGCACCATGACCACAGGCACAGCGGTGGAGTGCGATGATGCCTACACCACTTGCTACTATGCTACCGGTCTTGACGCCATAAGCAGCGCCGACTTTGACGTGTACGATGTTCGTGTTACAAGGGAGAACTTTGCGAGCCCGGGCACGTCGATGTACAGAGAATATCTAACGAGGCCTGACATCAAGAGTGCCATTGGCGCTCAGGGTGACTATGCCGAGTGTTCGGATAATTCTTGGAAGCAATTTTACAGCACCGGAGACCGTACGTTTCCTCGTCCTTGATCTCGGGACAAATCAACATTAACATGATACCCAGCCTCGAGATCCTTCCTTGGCGAGCTCAGCGAGGTCGTCAGGTCGGGCATCCGAGTTTTATTATGGGCCGGAGATGCCGGTATGTTTGTTTCTCGCCTGATTACTCGGTGGAAGCTGACATGCATTGGCGGTACAGACTGGATCTGCAACTGGGTGGGCAATCTTGCCGTTGCAGACGCGATCGACTTTTCTGGCCAAAAGGACTTTATCGAGAGGACTTTGAGCGTGTACAGGGTAAACGGAACTATCCACGGCGAGTTCAAGACCGTCGAAAACTTGAGCTGGCTTCGAGGGTACAACGCTGGACATTGGGCGTGAGTCTCTGCATCGTAAGGTAGGCATTAGTGTCATGTGGCGGCTGACAGTTGTCTTAGATCCTTCAACCAACCCCAAGTGGCTCTGCAAGCTTTTCGGCAAACAATGGAGGATAAGCCCAGTGCCGCAACTTGACTGTGATGGCGAAATGGCGGCTGTATACTGGTACCTATTGTTCTTTGAACTTGATCTATGCAAGTTAGTTAGGGTACCGATGAATATGGCAACGTTTCTCTTTGGGTTCAAGCTGCAGTCTTATATCTGCATGCAGGTGCCATTGTCACAAGTGGAGCGGCTCTAGGCTCTTGCCGTAGAGGAAGCTGGCGAGTCAAGATAGTCCAACCTTCCATATTGGAAGGCTGATGTTCTAGGACAAAAGAGGTGTTCACTAGCAATGGAGGATTCCTGCGACGATGAACGGCATAAGTTGACCCCGCGCCCTGCAATAGTCCCCTTCCGAGCTTCCTGTATCAACTCAACACAACATGCGCGTAGCCGTTATTGGTGCTGGGCCTTCGGGCCTAGTTCCGCTCAAGTACCTTGTTGCAGCTTGTGGCCGTCTTAACGCTGAGTGGAGGTGGCGTTGTTTGAGATTAAGAACTCGATAGGAGGCACCCTTGCTCATCGCTCATATGAAGATGGAGAGGTAATCGTCCGATCTTTCAGGCAACTCATAAAGTGCCAGTCCAATGAATCCTGTGGCAGTTGGTATCATCCAAGCAACTCACTACGTTCTCCGATTTTCGGCTTCTTGCATCTGACCCTGATTTCCTCTTAACAGACCGTTACGTTAGTACCTCAACGATTATTGCCCACACACTTTGAGTTATGGAAGCGCATCAAGCTTATGACGGGGCCGTGGAAGTGGAAGGGTGCAGAAGAAGTTCTGGTGGAGGAAGTGTGGAATACCGTGGAGAGAGGAGGAGAGGATCATTGAGTCACATCACTCTTTCGGGATTGCCGATAACTTTGGTGTTGTGGGTGCTAGACCCTGTGATAAGACTGTGGGAAGCGATCTTTTATTCAGCCGGGATTCCAAGACAACGGAAATGGATTTATTTGCGCGAGATGGCTACTAGGAGCTAAAATCAATGAGAATGAGGTATATTGACATTATCCCTGAACCCTTGACCCTCTGAATCCCTGAACCCCTGAACCCCTGACGAAACCCCTGAACATAACAAACAACCCACAAGCCCACTGAGCGACTAGCCCTCCCTCTCCCTGACAACAAACTCCAGCGGTGGGCCCCTATACACTGATGTCCAGTTCATCACAAACGAATAACCCTCTTTCCGTAGAGGTTCTGTGAGATCCACCTTGAATTTCCTGACCAGTCCCGCCAGAGCATGATTCATATTTAGGTTAGCCAATGTGTAGCCAACACACATCATATTTCCCATGCCAAAAGGGACCAAGTACTTCTCCATGCCCTTGGAGCTTCCTCCAGCGAGCCATCTTTCGGGTTCAAACTTTTCCGGATTTGGAAACACCTTCTCGCTGAGATGGACGTGGTAGTTGTCCGTCTCGACGACGGTGCCGCCTGGGATGCTGTGTCCACACAACACGGCCCCTTCAGCGGGAGTATCGCGAGGTAGAGCTCCCGGAATCGCATGAGCCAACCGTGAAGATTCCTTCATAAAGGCAACAAAGTAATTCAAGGACTCCAGAGCCGAGTTTGTGATATCTGAGTTTTGGTCAGGAAACGCGGTTTCAAGCTCGGAGAACAGTTTGTCTTGGATAACAGGGTTGCTCCCCAGAAAGTAAAATATCCGGGTGAGCGACCATAGCGTTGTGTGCAAGGCTGCTCCGAGAATGGTAAAACCCTCCGCAACAACGGTGTCGTGATCTAGGGAATCAAGAAGCCGTGCCATGATGGATGGCTCTTCAGTTTCAAGCCGCTTGGGCTGTTTCTCCCGGTGTTTGAGTAATCGAAGCACTTCGTTCGCGGTGGTGTTCTTCATGGCGGCCTGCCCTGTTGCAGCAGGAACCAGCCTTGCCATAATAGACTGAGGCACAAGTTCCAGAATAGGAACAATCGGAGGGAAGTACTTGACTATCGTCCAGGATTGTGCAAGCATATCGACCGAGTCTGTGAGAGGGTGCGCCTCAATCATGTCGGATTTCAGCAAGCTGGTCGGCAGTAAGTAAAGAACTTTTATCGGGCAAAGAGACATACCTGTATGAAGTTCCACAGATGGCCTCAGATGCGACATCAGTGACGAATCCTGCCAGGGCATTCTTCAGGTTGACCACACTGGAGCCCCTACGGAGAAACGAGCTGATGTTTTGCACCATCGTGTCCCGCTTGGTACTCACCAAGCCCTCATATATCCTGACAATGTCCCCTTTTGCAAACATGGGTCCGACCAGTGAGCGTCTTTTGCGATGGAAATCTGGGTCGGTTGAGCCAAAGAGTGTCTGCGATATCCGGAAGGGGACATAAAAGTATTCTGCCTTTGTAAACTTGCTCCCGACTTTGTGAACCTCGCGAAATGCATCTGGATCGGATATGTGCAAGGCATTGGGGCGGATGCGCACGATGGGACCGTACTTGGGGTGCAGCACCAAGCGCTCACACTCCGGCCATGAAAGCTGTGTGCGTGAGAAGAGGGCATACCACGTTTCGTACAGGGAGGTTGCAGCGGCGAGCTTTGGTCCTGGGAAGGAGGAAAGGGGGTGGAAATATAGCCGATAAATGACAAGTAGAATGCGGTATATGATGAAGGCAGTGGCCAGGAGAACAACAAGAGAATGCGGGGTCAGACTGTGGAAGGAAGATGGAGCTGTGAAGGTGTAGGCCCCAAGTCCCACTCCGACAGATGTAACATTCATGATCAGTATCTGCTTTTGAGCTATTTGACTGCATGGGCGGCCAGGACGAAGACTGTAAATCAGGAAGAAAGAGATGTCCAGGTTTCAACATCCATGGCCTTGGGAAGCAGATAAATAATGCAGGCAGATCAGGTGCCAAAACCAGGGCAGCATCCCCGCGCAAACTCATAATAGAGCCTAACCTGATGTGTATCGTAAGTCCCAGGCTGGCTTGTATCGAAAAGATCCCGGCATATGCAGATGGACCCTTGATACAGTGGTGATATGATGCATCATGTAGAGTACTATCGAATGATACGTTGGCTGAGAAGGACGCACAGTGGTCAAGTGAGGTTTCAATAAATCCCCTTTCAGGCAGTCTTCTGTCGATCTTGGTGTCTGGGTGGCGGCAGTTTGTGATAGACTTGCGCAATACCACACCTTGTTGGCATGCTTTGTATGGTAGGCTGTAGTTCTGCTGCGGGAATACATCAATTAATCCGATAGGTCCGCTGGCGTAATGGCAGCGCGTCTGACTACGATATCTTAGACGTTCAAGTAATCAGGAGGTTCCAGGTTCGACCCCTGGGCGGATCGTTTTGCATATTTTTACTCTTCTTGATGGAGAAGTACACTACCATTCTTTGCTCTTTTAAAGAATGGAGAGAGAACATAATATTTCCATGGCCCTCACAGGCTTGTTGGTGCTGACCTTTGCGTTCTGGGATGAGCATGACTGTTTGCGATTTTAGATGCAGAGTGATAAGCAAACAAAATCGATATCAACCCCTACAAAGCTGTGATGGCCCGCTGGCCAAATGGTAAGGCGTCAGATTTCGGTTAGAGAGATAACCTCTGAAGATTGCGTGTTCGAGTCGCGCGTGGGTCGAAACATCATTTTTGCGCTCTTTTCCAAGCGAGGACGAGAAACCTTGTATTTTTGACTCTGTGTCGAAGCCATGACTAAAACTGATCGAGAATACAAACCTGTTATTTGGCCACTTTTTACGTTACCCCCTTTATCCCTTGATTGCCAAGCGGCCCCGTCCAAATCCCTCGACCCGACTTAGACCTTCATCTTCACTGCGCGCTTCGCCGTAGTCCCTGTTCGCGTTGCCTGTCCATTGAGTGCACTGCGACAAGTGATTGTGCCAGGCCGGTCAACCCGTCTGGCGGAGAAGGACCACAGTCCACTGCCAGGAGGTGTAGCCGCCATAGCGCTGGTGGTTGTGCCCCTATCACCGGGATAAGTCACCTGCATGTTGACCTTCCCATCGACGAGGTAGAGACTGCTGCAAGTGACGCCGATGGTACCGCTCTGGCCGCTGGTCCAAGTCACTGCGTCCACAGACACAATGTCAGCACCAGAGAACAGGGTCACGGCGAAGGTAGAGTTGCCAGTAGTGTTGTGATTGGCCGATGAAATGGCGAGCTGGAAGACGTATTCGCCCGTTGGCGCCGAGTTGGCAAAGCGGACCGACACAGACTTGGAGTCGGACGAGGGGGCAAAGGTGGCGAGGTTGGACTGGGTTCCAGCGGATTGATCGGCCAGAACTGACCAGGTCCACGTCAGAGTGTCATTGTTGCCCATGTTGTGGTTGTCCTGGTAGCCACGGAGAGTAAACGTGTCATCACTGCGGGCATAGAGGCGCTTGGGAAGGGCAACAGTCGCGACTTGGCTTCCGGTGGCAGAGATGGGAATGGTGGCATCGATCCGAGGGTTGGCTGTCTGCGGCTCGCCCTCGTTTGGCTCTCCGGGATTGACTGGACCCGCGCAGGTCGAAATGTTGAAGACGGTGACGCCAGACTGAGGGAAGGGGTCGAGGGGGCCAAAGATGTTGCCGTCCTCGTCAGGCCCAACGCCGCGGGTCAGGTGGGACATGGCGGCATACTCGTTGATGATGGGCTCAATGCCGGGAACGAGTAGCTCGGGCTGAATCCACTCGAGAATGGGCGCAACATACTGACCCGCCACGATGCCGTTTCTGGTGACCACCGTGCCGCTAGAAGCAACCATTCGGTACTCACGCGTGTAGATAGAAGGAGTAGTCCCATCAATGCGCGCAATCCACTTGTTACGGCCACCTCCTTCCGGGCGAGCTTGCCCAACACCGATCGATCTGTATGTTTCATGCCCCGTGCAAGGATCAATGTCGATGGCACTGATGGAAACGGTGACGCTGGGATCACTGGTGTATCCGATAAAGCGCGTTTCTGCCACCTCGGCGTTTGTGTTGGGGGTATACACGCCCACAAGGGTTTCTTCGACTCTAATGTAAGCCGGGCTGCCCGTCGTTGTGATCTGCACATTCCAAGCAACAATATCGAAGCAGATAAGCTCATTTTGCGGGTTGCGGAACCCTCTGTACATGATAAAGTCTCCAGGGAGGAATGGAGCCATGATCAAAGGGTCAGGGGCTTGGCTGTTTACGTTGAGTCAGTGACCAGCCCGCATCGTGAACTGGGTCAGTACTAGAGAACTTACAATATTCTGCGCGGAGCTCCGGCAACGACAGGTCGGTTCGATGACGGACAGAGTGTGTCGTTGGATGACCGCGGGACGCACATGGGGAAGCCAGAAAATGAACTGACGCTGGGGCTCTTGTCGTCGGCAACCATGAAGGGCGATGAGTACCCAGCCGAGAAGACAGCGTTGGGATCATTGATCCGAATGACGGGACCGTTGAGAATTTTCATGGTCCCGTCAAAGTTGATCTCCTCAATGTAGCCCTGGTTGATCTCCATGGCGAATTCCTGCACGATGATCTGCGCCGCGATGGAGACTCCATTAACAATATTTCCAGCAACCTATTTTGCGTCGGTCAGCATATGCCCTCCATCCTGTTTGGTGCCTTGTGGTAAGGTACTCACGTTCACCTCGTACCCCATTACCGCTGCCTTTTGAGCTACAAAGTCCTTCCACGGCACAAACGCTGCCGGGAACGTTACCAGCATGTTCTTGGGAACCTGAACGGTCCATCCGTTCACTGAAATGGTTCCTCCGGTGTTGTATGAATCGTCCGTAGCGGTGGCACTATTTCCTGGTCAGTACTTGAGGCTACCTACATCAGGGACTTGAATTTCTCACTCAACGAGAGCCCCGTCCAGTAAAATGGGGATGTCAACACCTAAAACCCCCAGGATGAGGTAAAGAAGTGGAAAGAGCACAAGCATGGCGGTGACTGTTGGATGGTGGAAGTTCACTTGCAAGATACCGTAGCTTGATGGGACTTATTGTTCAAACGGATTCTTTCAGGGCAAATTGCTCTCGCTTTATACTTGCAAGTCTCTCGACGTTTGCCTCTCAAAGTACAATGTGGCAACTCGAACCGGTTCAGTCATTCTACTACTTTGTTCGCCAACTTTCATAACTACCTATTGGTAAAGTTACTTTCAGGTAGCAATTCACATCCGGTTCGACCTTCCGGAGTTCATTGCAGGAGACTTCAACACCAGACTCCGAGCCACCTTCCCGATCCGATCATATTTATTTTCTGCGCATCAAGGTAGAGATGGCCACCTAGATTAGGTAGATACAGCACATACATGGTATTGCTCGTGGTAATATTTTACAAACTCTTTAGGGAAATGGAGAGCGAAGTGTGGTCTGGCTGACCCACAGCGGACGAGCACCTGCATGAAGGATTTGGCTCTCGAATGCCTGTCAGGGAGTATTTACAAGAGCAATGGAACGGTTAAGCTTGAAAGATGCTTGGCTGCCGTTAATAGATTGATAGGCACCTTGACTGTGAATGAAGGTTTTAGAATAATGGTTTATATTGTCTATGTGTTACTCAGTTTGGCACTGGCTCTCATACTGCACAATTGACACTTCATAATGGAATTAGCTCTCCCTCAATGTATTCTAACAACGTCCATACCGCGGTTCAAACCGGCGGCTCGGGCTTGGGGGAGCCTGCCGGGGCACAATACATTATACCAGCCCATGTAATAAAGATCGACCAAAATGCCGAGCTTCAACCACAGTTTGCCACCCGCTGGTGGGCCTGGGAACTCCCGCGTCACATCTCAAAATAGATTCATGATGTTGTGTTGCACCACCGTAATAGCGCCCGATAGTTCAACTGACTTGGTTGCATAGGTACGTTCTTGAGCACTGAGCTCATTTACTCTGCACCCTGGACAAGAGAGTCAGACTATCGATTGTCATCTTTACCCGGTGGTTTCCAGAGAAGCAGGTCTACCCGAGATCTCGCGTGGACCTGCTCTTCCTTCTCCATTTGGCGCGCCTAGGCGGCACACTGGACCATTTCTCGGTATGCCTGCGGAGGATTGTGGGTACTTGCATCCTCGGTCAAATACATGCAGCTCAAAGCCAGCTAGGGAAGCGCCATGAACTCTGATATGGATACTTTCATGGGAGGGTGCGGGGAAAGTTCCGATGGCATATCCTCGTTTGTCATGTTTCTCCCCCCAATATGCACAAGGCTTAGCGTGGGGGAGAGACGTCTGTCAATAATTCGGAGTTGTGGTTGCATTGGGTGCTCATGGCGAGCTAGTCTGCGCAAGCTCATGGGTCGTGCCGTGTGGCCTGCAACCACGACGCTAACTCCGCCCCCAGCCGAGCTCGCTTGCTGTGTTCGTTTAAAAGTGCCGAACCAGAGCTTTTTCATCGTCGGAAAGGCTCCCACGTGCAGTCATCCGGGTCAACATCAAGCCGGCAACGATAGATGGCTGCAGCCTCCCGTCCTTACCTACCCAGCGCCGAAGTTGAGGCTTTGAAGAGCCAGTTGTGATCCGTACCACAACGTCTGTCTCCAAAGAATGATGCAAGGCTTGCGTGAAATGGCGGACAGTTGACACTTGGCAAGGTACCTTTCAGGAACAGGATCAGATATTGAAAGCTTGGTCCAATCAACAACGACATCTCCCCTTGCCCCTTTTTTTGCCGCAACCATGCATCCCCGGATTGTTCACGTTCACCATGGCGCTTCGACCGCTTCGACAGTGAAAGCTGTGCAAAAGAAAGTCGGTTGATGAAACGTAGCTCGGAATTCGTCGGATAATAAGGTACCCTTGACGTGGTGCCAAGAATCGGAGAGGAAAGCCAAAACAGGATAAGAAAATAGCTGATCGGTGTCCGGGAGTGAGGCGCTAGTAGCGCCATCGGTTTTAATCAGGAGCTAACATCCAGCTCCCCGGAGAACACAAAAGGAAGAAGCCAAGCGCAGGATCGTGCTCAGGGATCTATTCGCGTGTTTTCTCTTGGCGAAATCTAGATTCCGAACTACAAGGTCAAGGGTTAGGGCTGTGATCGTTTAAAACCGACTAATGCAGGACATTGGCGCCGTGCCCATTGCTAAAGCCTCAATGTAGTGTATTGACTGCCAAGTATCCCGTCGGTCTTGGGTGTACTAACCCTTCAACGGTCCTTTTGACGAAGACTCTTGTTAGGGTCTTGACAAAGCTTATCTCGGCTAAGCAAAATCATGGGTTTTGGGGGTAAACAAACGGTTCGAAACAACTAGGAAATTGAGCAAGGGCTTCGACAAGACATCCGTTCGTATTATCCACATGAACACTGCTTACTTCAGGGGCCTGCTCAGGCCAAAGTGCGGCTGCCACGCCCTGGGGAAGTATTTTCTGACTAATGTTTGTCTTGAACACGGTCTTGATTCCAATATTGATGACCCCTTTTGCAGGTAGCAGACCAACCACCCCCCCCCCTCACCCACACCGAACATTTGCACGGGCAGAGGTTCTCACCAGTCAGCTGGGCCACTTTATGACTGATGCATCCACCACAAGGATCTTGGCCCAGCACCCAATGTGATATTGAAGCTGATGGATGCATCCACGCTTATACTTTCCTTGAATCTTACGCCTGATATCCATCCATATGGCCATCGCTCAAGGAAGTTTTTGCCG